CCCATCCTGGTATCAAACCAACAGCTCCTGGCCAACTTTAGCCTCATGGCAATTCCGGCTCTGGGGGTGCTTTTACTCCCTCCCTGTGGGCCAAGACTGAGCCCGGGGTTTATTTGGGTATGCCTTATGCTACATTGGAGGAGACCTGATTGGTTATGGCACCTGATGGCTTTTTGTCTTTTCCCCCCTGTCAAATACCCCTTCTTCAGGAGGCAGTGACCTGAGTGGAGATTTTGTGTGGCTGACAGTGTTCCAGTACCACTTAGTGGGAGTGACCTGGAAGCACACTTAATTGTTAATCCCTCAGGCGGGTGTCCTGCCTCCAGGCTCTGCCCTCCCCTCCCTTACCTAAGATGTCATGACACCTCTTCTGCTCCCTCCCCAGTCCTGCCACCTTGTCCTTCACCTCTGTCTGCCTTTCCCTCCCTGGGCTTACTGGGACCCTAGCTTCCCATGGAAAACTCATACCATGGTACCTTATGACTTTCTTAAGTTACTCCCACACCTAGTTTGTCATGCCCCTCAGTCCACAGCAGCTTTAAATCAGCTGCTGGGTACCAGCAGAGGCAAAGGCGCCTGCAGAAAACTGTGGCTGTGCCACACACACCCCTAATCCCACCCCACAAGGGGAGGAGGGAAAACAAACAGGAGGGTGTGCACAGAAATGTTGGCCCCTGTGACAGTGGTAACGCCTGCCATAGCTAAGGCAATCCATACAGAGGGCCCAGCACACATCCAAAGACACCAGTCATACACCATTCCCCAAAAAGGGATGAGAGGAAAAGTATACAGGTGCAGGTGCTCATACATGGGGGGAGGGGTGATGGGCTGCAGAGGCGGGCCTGGGCAGACAGGATCACTAATCCTGGGCATGGGGGAGGGTGGCAGTGCTTTGTGCAGACCCCATTCCCAGCCCCACCCACGCCTCTGGCCTGACCAACCCAGTCCTTGGAAGTCAATTCTTATCTCAAGGTTATGTCCCAAAAAGCACTAATGTAACCTTCCAGGAACAGAAAAATGGGCGTTGCTATGCTTCTCATTTGAAATTTCCTATGCTTTTGGCCTTGGCATAAAAACTTTTCCTCCAAATATTAACACTAGTCATCCCTTGTGGCACTGTGATTGCCCCAGGATCCCCTCTGAGTGCCCATTTCTAACCTTACAGGCACCTCTCCAGGTGATGCATCCCTTTGTTAAAGAGGCTGCCTGCTTTTGTCTAAAAGGCAGGATCGTAGAGTTTTTCTCTCACTGCGTTGGTCAGGTGGCCTATCCCGGAGCAGTCACTTCCTTCGGTCCTGGTCCTGGATGGTGAAGGAAGTAATGAGACAGGGATGTCTGCTCTCATTGGTTAGGTCTGATCCCCAGTCCAGACACTGATAAAAGGGGAGTCTGAGAAGTTCATGTAGATGGGGCCTGCCCCTTCCAGTCTTCTGGCCTCAGTACCCAAGTGGTCTCCACTGGCCTGTCTATTGAAACATTGGAAGGACCTTGACCCTATTAATCTCAAGGAAAAAAACTCTCATTTTACTTTGTACTGAGGTCTCAGTTTCCCTTGGGTGACCAAGAAAAGTGGCCTTCACAGGATTCCTTAAATTATAATACCATACTCCAATTAGACCTTTTCTATAAAAGGAAGGAAAAGTGGACTGAGGTCCCCTATATATGGCTTTTCTTTTATCTCCGGTACCACCCAGAATGGCTCCATAATTGCTATCTAGATACTCTGGCCGTTCTTTGTAAGCCTCAGGATAAACATGGGGAAGAAGGACCAGAAAAGCCCCTTACTAATGACAAGGTCCCCGTCCCTACTGCTCCACCCTCTGCCCTACCTTCTAAGCCACCCCAATAGTCAGAACCTCCTAATGGATGCTTCCCCCTTCAACAGGCAGTGGTGGAAAGAAGACAAGTCTATGTTCCCTCCCGGTTATCAGATCTAAGGGAGATTTAAAAAGATCTGGGTAGCTATACTGATGCCCCAGACCAATACATCCAAGCCTTTATCTCTGTGATCCAAGCCTTTGAACTGGCATGGAAGGATATTATGCTTCTACTAGACCAGACTCTTTCCCCATTAGAAAAGCAGTGGGTCCTGGCCCAGGCCACTCAGGTTGGGGATGATTTCCATCTATGAGTCCCGTCACACCTAGCCTTCTTGTAAAGTCCAAAGCCCCCTGGTAAAGGCTACTCTTATCAGGCAGGATATACTAATGGTTTAGAAATCACGATAGGCAAAGGCCAGATCTCTCTTTGAGCAAGGCTAAATACTTTATTGTACAACCCATGACTCAGCTTCAGCAGCAAGTTATCTCCAGCCACCTCCCATTGCCATGTTTTATTTATGTAGAGCTAGGGATTGAACCAAAGCCCTTGCACATGCTAGGCAAGGCTCTACCTCTTGAGCCACACCCTAAGTCCTCTATTTTTAATGCAAAAAATAACACAGACTCAACACCTGTGGCTAGCACCTATAACCCTATCTACTTGGGGAGCTGAGGTCCCGTGGATCACTGATCCAGCCCAGGAGAAAAATAGTTCTCAAGATCCCCATCTCCAAAAAAAAACCAGAGTAAACTGGACTGGAGTGTGGCTCAAGTGGCAGAATGCCTGCTTTGCAAGCATGAAGTCTTGAGTTCAAACAAAAATAATGAGCTCACCCTTCTTCAATATGTTGATGACATACTTCTGTGCAGAGCCACAGAGCCCCTCATCTCCAGGGCATCTGAGTCCCTTTTAAACTTTCTGGCCTCCTGGGGATACAAAGTCTCCAAGGAAAAAGCTCAATTATGCCTTCCTCAGGTCACCTACCTAGGCATGATCTTAAAGGGACAGACCTGCTCCCTGAGTCATGAGCAGATTGAACTAATCCTCCGTTTCCCACCCTCCAGACCATAAAGCAGCTGGAGCTTTCTTGGGATTTTGCAAAATCCAGATCCCTAGATATGCAGCCCTTGTCAGACCCTTTATATGCTCCTTCTAATACTCCTATTTGTGCCTTGTATAGTAAATGCTCTCTCCAGATTCATATCTCAACAGGTCCAATGGATCAAACTCCAGTTCTTAGTCAAGGAATACCCACCTCTGCCTATGCATGAGCCCTCCACCCCATTCTATTGGGGGCCCCTGGAGACTACACGGGTCAACCCCTGAGACAAGTACCACCTCCCCAACCCCCCCATCACCCCATTGTCAGCACAAATCAGCTAGATGAGTCATTGCTCCCTCTCCCCAACAGCAGAGGAGGGACTTGTTGGGTCTGGAAACCTAAGGCAGATTAATGAGTCAGTATCCCATCCCCCCTTGGAAAGCACTGATTCCTGCATCCTGAGAAGGAGCTGTAAATCTGCATTCCTGCATCCTAAAGAGGAGATACAAGGTCTGATAGATCTGCCACAGGGCTGATGAGCAAAATGCTCTCAAGATTGTTTCCCCTCCCCCAATAAGGGGCAAACCAAACCAGTTCACCTGAGAAAGTCCGCAAATCCATGACCAATGAGAAAACCCCACCTAATCTAGAGTTACAACATCCATAAAAACCCCAGCCTTCACCTGAGCAGTGAGCTACCTGTTTCTGGGATCTGCTGCACTGCTCTAGCTGTAGCCTTTCCTTTCTCTCTAATCAATCCTACTTTACACACCGGCATTGGCTCAAAAATCAATCAACTCCCTCATGGGCCAGTTCTCTGGCCAGTGAAGGCAAGGAGCCTGCAACACTTCAAACTGACACATAATGCAGTGATTAAAGATTTTGGTGAAAATGTTGTCTTTGTAGTTAGATTTTCCTCAACATTCATTAGTGTTCTACCCTCATGGAAATTTATAGGGCTTTTTGTGGTTTGGCCATTGCCTATATGAGTGTTGTGGTTAACTGAGCCACTCAGTTGAGTTCCAGTTTAACATTTCTTGGCTGAGTGACGTGGGGTACTGGCTTATCCCTGTTAATACTTATTAATATTGTGATCACCAATGCCTACCTCATAAGGTTGTCATGAGGCTCAAGGGAGTTAACACATGAAAGTTAGAGCAAAGCTTGGCACAAAGGAAGCAAGACCCCAATGCCAGCAATTGTTATTTACTTACTATTGACTACAACACTGAGACAATATATTCCTTGTAGACCCTGCTTGTAGCATATATTGTTCGGGATATAATATATTCTATTTTGACCTTTGGTACTGGGGTTTGAACTCAGGCCTCATGCTTGTTGGCAGTGCTCTACCACTTGAACCACTGTGAAGTCCTCTATTTTGACTTTTAAAGGTAATAGTCACATAAAAGAAAGAAATCCAACTGTATATTTGTGCTGTCCATAATTGAGATAGCCACTACCTGTACCTGACTGCTTAATTAAATTCAGTAGTTAAAAATTCTGTGCCAGGGCTGGGTGCCGGGGCTCACTTCTGCAATTTCAGGTACTTGGGAGTTGGCAATCAGGAGGATGGAGCAAAATGGGGGTCTGAGACTAGGCAAAAAGCAAGACACTATCTGAAAAAATAATTAAAGCCAAAAAAGGTTATGGGAATGGTTCAAGTATTAGGTAGAGCACTTGCCCAGCAAGCTCTAGGCCCAGAGTTCAAATTCCAGTATCACCAATAAAAATAAATTCAGTTCCTTAGTTGCACTAACCAATTTCAAGCAGGCATCAGCCATAAGCTGCTATTTGCTATGAGCTGGATGTGACTGAGCTGTTGACCTCAGCAGCTCCAGAGAGCATTTGATATGAGGCCTGATACAGGGCGCAGCTCTTAAGATCTGACAGCACCCGTCACCTGTGGGAGCCAAGCACGAGCCAGTGCTTGGGGCCGAACTGGCTGAAGGAGGTGCAGTTGCAGTCCCCACTGCGGTCGGTTCATTGATCACTAAGTGACAATCACTGTCCGGGCCCCAGCTTCGGGCCCGCCAAGAGCGGCCCCCGGCGGTGGGAAGGGGACCCGCGCCGCCCTCCGGCGCCCCCTGCCGCCGGCAGGAGGCACGCGGTGCGGCGCGGCTCGCCGGGGGCCGGAACATGGCGGAACCCGCGCGCCCGGGCCCGTCGACACCGGACAGGGACGGAGCGGCGCCCAACGCGGTGGCGAGACTCTCGCAGTGGGCAGACGACCACCTGCGCCTGGTCCAGGTACCGCGGGCGGCGCGGGGAGGGCGCGGGGCGTCCTGGGAGCTGGTCTGTGGGCCACCACTGGCAGGGCGGTGGCCGCAACGGCTGACGCAGCGGATCACGCAGCTGCCGCTGGGCTGCGGGGAGGGAGAAGGAGTGGACGCGGGAGCGCGGACACGCGGCCTGGCAGGCGGCGGCGTTAAGGAGACGCGCGCGCGGCCGGGGCCGGGCGGGGCGGGGGGGGGACTCCCCACATCTGAGGAGTGAAAAAGACTAAGAACGGGAGGAGGAAACCTAGGAAGGCCACGTGCCCAAAAGGCCAAGTGCAGAGAATGGACTTAGGAGTGATTGCAGTTTCCAAAATTCTGGGAAGAAAAGTACATTGAACTTTGCAATGCCAAACAGCACAAGACCCAAGGCCGCGGGGAAACTGTTCCAGGAATGGGGCAGGGGGATAAAGGAGAATGGAGGGAGTGAATTCAGTTATGAAACATCGTAAAAACTTTTGTAAGTGTCACAATGTACCCCCAGCACAACAACAGTAATTTAAAAAAAACAAAAAAGGCCCAAGGCCAGGTCTGTTTACACTCACTATTGCAGCTCCAGTCCTTATTGTGGCACCTGCCACTTAGTACTAGATAGCCATGTGATTCAGTAATTAATGGCACCTGTGTGATAATTTTTGAGGCCCTGTTTCCTTCAATCCATCAAGAACCGATGCTTAGGTTAGTTAATTAAAAATTGGCCTCTGGATTGGGATACAGCTCAGTGGGAGAACATGTGTTTAGTCCTCAGCTCCCCACAAAAAAATTGACCCCGCAACTATCGTAGAGGAACCAGCATCTATCTACATGGGTATGTTTCATATAACCCAATCACAGATCCCAAAGAGTGTACCTTCATGTATATATTTTCAGCCTCATTTCTTGTACACCGAGGCATATTTCTTGAAGGAAAGTATGTTAGATTGTTACTCATTTCCAGGGAGTTGTAATATTTTATATTATAAAATATTTTTTCATTGAATTCTTTTACATCTACTTAAATTTAAATGGAGCAATTTAAAAACATCACTAAGTTTTCTTTAACCATTTACCCATATATATTTGCCAAGGTACTATATTTAAGGTTTTCTACCAAATATTTAAAATTTCACCACGGATGTAAAGTTATATTGTAGTGGGCACCGTACAAGAGGTATTAGACCATTCATGAATCCAAGGGATTCATAGTTAAATTAGTGCAGTCAGATTCCTCTGCATGCCAGATTGTTTGGATAAAACTGGCAATATTGTGAAAGTTAAAAGACAGGAAGATATGAGTGGGTGAATTGTCAAAAGATTTTGGGAGAAATAATAGACTGTCATTGGAAATATACAGGGAGGACAGTCTTCTTTTTCCCCCCTCTTCTGATTAGTACTTTCACTATAAGTGAATGATTATTAATGAGAATTAATCATTAAATCTCTTTCCCTAGAACATCAGCACTGGAATGGCCATAGTTGGAATAACGTTATTTGTAAGAAGTGTTCGACTGGTGAGTTAAAAATGAAAAAGGCAATAGACAGTTAAGTTATTCTTACTTCAGAGAGTTCTTATCTCAAGTGGTATATCACTTATTCATATTGGAAGCTTTTAAATAGCATTTTAGAACAGTGAACATGTTTTAAGATCTTACAAAATCTACAGAATTTTATAGAAAGCAATTGAACAGTCTATATCTTCATTATCACCTTTTTTCACACTTCAAAAAAGAAACTGAAAAGGATTTAGCTCATTAGAATGTTGTCACTAAATTTGCATTTCAGATATTGTGGAATATTTCAGGGTTTTTTTTTTTTTTCAGGTTTTTTCTGTGGTGTTTTTAGATCACAATTTGATTATGTCCCTTAGCACTGAGTAATTTATGTTTCCAGCTAGCATTTTTTTTTGCCTTTTCAGTAATGTTTTAAGTGAGGTCTTGAGTTCAAACCTCAGAACCACCAAAAAATAAAAAGAAGTTTTAATAATAGACATGGTAGAAATCCACTTCATAAGTCAAGGTTTACAAGTGCATATTGTTTTTTCAGGTTTTTTTTTCTTTTATTGTGGTAAGCTATACATGACATAAAATTTACCATCTTAACCACTTTTAAATGTACATCAGGTTCAGTGGTAATAAGTGTATTTGTACTTTTGTGTCAGGATCTCCATTCATCTCCAGAACTCTTCATATTGCAAAACTGAAACTCTATGCCTATTAAATAATAATTCCCCTTTCTCCAGCCCCTGGCAACTATGATTCCTCTGTCTCTATGATTTTGACTACTCTGGCTACATCTTGTCTTTTTTGTGACTGACTTATTTTACCAAGTATGATATTCTCAGTGTTCATGTAACATATACTAGAATTTCTGTCCCTTTTAAGACTTCCATTGTGTTGTGTATATATACTAGTTTTGCTTTTCAGTTCGTCTGTTGATGAACACTTGAGTTGCTTCCACATTGTATCTATTGTAAATAATGCCCTGTTCAACATGATGTACAAGTATCTCCTTGGTATCCTCCTTTCAGTTCTTTTTAGTATGTACCCAGAAGTGGAATTGATGTTAATTGTATTATTTATTTTTGGTAGTACTGGCCTTGTGCTTGCTAGGCAGGTGCTCTACCACTGGCGCCATGCCCCCAAGCCCCAAATTTTTAAAATTTTTATTTATTTATTTTTTTGGTGGCACTGGGGATTGAACTCAGGGCCTTGTGCTTACTAGGCAGGTGCTCTAAGTTCTCTCCTGCTTAAGCCACTCCACCAGTCCAGTATTTTTAATGTTTTGAGGAACTGCCATACTATTTTCTACAGTGGGCTACACCATTTTACATTCCCATTAACAATGCACAAGGGTCTAGTTTCTCCACATCCTCGCCAGCACTGGTTATTCCCTCCCCCTCCCTCCCTCCCTCCCTCTCTCCTCCCTTTGCTAACCTAGGTGTGGATAGTTCCTCACTGTGGCTTTGATTTGTGCTTCCCTAATGAGTAGTGATGTTGAACATCCTTTCATGTGCTCATTGGCCTTTTATATGTCTTCTTTGGAGAAATGTCTTTTTGAGTTTTTTGCCCATGTTTGAACTTAGTTGCTTGGGATTTTTTGTTGTTGAGTTTTAAGAATTCTATATGTATATCCTGGATAATAATCCCTTATAAGGTTTTTTTTTTTAATATGGTATGGGGTTTTAACTCAGGGCCTTCACCTTGAGCCACTCTACCAGCCCTATTTTTGTGAAGGGTTTTCAAGATAGGGTCTCAGCAGATATTTGATTTGTAAGAATTTTCTCCCATTCTGTAGGCTGCTTTTTCAGTCTATCAATGTGCAATTTTTTTTAATACTCATGAAATCTGATTTGTCTGTATTTTCTTTTATTGCCTTTAGGGTCATATTCAAGAAGTAATTGTCAAATCCAGTGTCATGAAGCTTTTGCTCTATGTTTCATCTAAGAGTGTTGTAGTTTTAGATCTTCTATTTAGATAGCCATTTTGAGTTAATTTTTGTAGAAGATAGGCTGAGGAAAAAGGGAAAAGACCCAAATGACTAACATCAAATAGAAGTGGGGGTGTTGGGCTGGGCATGGGTGTTACACACTTCTAATCCCAGCTCTTGGGAGACTGAGGCAGGAGGATCACAAATTTGAGGGCAGCCTGGACTACGTAGGGAATTCCAGACCAGCTTGAGCTACTCAGTGAGACCCTGTCTCAAAAAGTGGGAGTATCACTAAATCTACAGAAATGAGGACTGTAAGGGAGACTATGAACCACTGCACCAGCAAACTGGATAAAGTTCATGAATTAGATAAATTGCTAGAAATTCAAAACCTTCCAAGAGAGAATTGTGATGAAATAGTAAATTCAAATAAACCTATAACTAGTAAGGAATTGAATCAGTAATTAAAAGTCCCCCAGCAAAGGAAAGCCCTGGATCTGATGGCTTCACTGTTGAATTCTACCAGGCATTTAAAGAAGAACTAACACCAATCCTTCTCAGTTTTCCCAAAACCTGAGGTGGAAAAAATGCTTCCCGACTCAGAATGGGAAGCCAGCTTTATCCTTAATAAAGCTAAATAATAACACTCTTCTCTACTTCTGAAGAGTGGGTTTTGTTTATCACAAGTTCAGAATTCACTTCCTCTAAAGGAATCATCCTTATCTGTCCAGTGCTTTGGATTTTTCTCTTTTGGATCCCTTCCCATGTATACTTTAACTAAACCTATTCATATATTGCTCTACAGTTGTATTCTGCTTGCTTTATGTATATTATTTATTCATCTTCCAGGTATCACAGGAGCGTAATATTGAACTTACTACTCTTGACATTCAGAAGAAGTGATACAACAGTCTTTTTCATATAGACTGTGAGCTCTGTGAAAGTGGGAACATCGGGCTCTTTTTTCTTGTTTCTTACTTCAGCTCCTTATTAATTTCTAAAACTCCAAACATTAAGGCATTCTTGGACCTTATATATATGCCTTAATGAAAATACCTCAGAGTTAGAAAGGATGGATTTTAGTAGTTAAGACCTCTTTAATTGCCCTCCCTACTAAGTCTGACTCTGCCTCCCTTGAGCCAAATGCTGTTGGTTGTCTCATTTGGTATGGTTTCTAGGCTTCTTACTGCTTTTTTTTTTCCTTCCTCTTTTGGCTTCATTTCCTTCAGGAAATGTACTATTCATAGTGGTCCAATTTAGGATAATCTATCATTTCTCTTATTCTGGATCCTGTTCCTAACAGTATTGCTTTAGGTGGACCTTTTTTTGTAGCAGTTAATGGTTTGAATGTGAAAGGTCCCCCTCAGGCTCATATGTTGAATGCTTGGTCCCCAGCTGGTGGCACTATTTTGGAATGTCTGGAGAGATCCAGGAAGGAGGTCGCTGGAGGCATACCTTTGAAGGTTATAACTGGCCACCCCTTCCTAGCTTTTTGCTTCCTGAGCACCATGAGGTGAAGAATACATGCTCTGCTGCCATGATGTTCTGCTTAAGCACAGAGTCAAGCAGCTCTGGCCTGGGCCCACTGAAATCATAAGTAAATGAACCTTTCCTCCCCTTAAGTTGTTTACGTCTGACATGTCACGTTGACAGGAAAACTGACTAACACAAGGGAAGGGGGTTACACTTTGTTGTTTTGTTTGTTTTCTTTGTTTGTAACAGACTGTCATACTTTACTCATTTTGAGTTCACAGTTAATTAAAATATCCAAATTGTTTTCACATATACTACTATAAATTTAGTCTCCTTCATTCTTCTTTACTTTTGCAAAGTACAGGGGCAAACTTACATTTTAGGCTGTCATTCTAGTTGTCAGAATCTTTTTGAATACAAACCCTGACTTCTAGTATTTATATCCTTCCAAACTTTTGGACGTTTGGTTCTTATGCCATCATTAATATGTTCATCATTGGAGGATACCCAGGCCAGAGTTCCATGAATTGTCACAGTGCCTCGTTAACAGTAATTCATTGTTGAAAGCTATCTGATTACATAAATATCTAATCTACATTTGTTGTCCCCACAAACTCGTCAGAAGCACCTTTGTCATGTGACTCAACCTCATGGTTTAGTTTAAGATTCTCCTCTTTTTTGTTTATACTATGCATATTTCACATTCTTTGGAGCTCTTTTTGGAGGTTCCAGAAGAGGAGCGCAGTTATTTGTATACCCTTTACCTTTGAATGGTCCTCCATCAGGAAGGTCACCCCCCTTTGACTCGGGAGAGATCTACATGGGGTGGTGAGGGAGGAAGGGGGCATCTACTAGATGTCCAGATCAGCCAAATGAGCCAACACTGGCAATCAGTGGGATGACAGATGCTGCAGCCACATTGCCCTCACATCCACATTCCACATTCTTGAATGGATATTGACAACAGATCCAGAATCTATTTCCTCTCAGTTTCCAATAAATTTTGTAACATCCATTTACATTTCATCCAGATTCGCTAGTTATTAACATTTTGCCACATTTGTTCTCTTTCCCTCTGTATAAAAAAGGAAGTTATAGGTACTGAAGCTTTATCCATAGATTCTTCATAGTACTTTCTGAGCATAAGGATGAGGGCTGGGGGGTTAGCTCAGTGGTAGGGCTCTTGCCTAGCATGTGTAAGGTTCTGGGTTCAATCCCTCATTTCACATTAGGGAAATAAAAAACAAAACAAAACAAGGATGTTTTCCTATATGACCTATTATGGTTTGGATCTTAAATGACCCCCCACACACAAAGCTTTCTTGAAGGCTTGACCCCCAACTGATGGTGGTATTGAGAGGTAGTAGGAGGTGGGGTCTCATTGAAGAACAGGTCACTGGGGTGTGCATTTGAAGAGCATATTGGAACTGCAGCTTCTTCCTCTCTTTCTGCTTCCTGTCTGCCATGAGGTGAGCACTTTGCACTGCCTTGTGACCCTGTCATCATGTTATACTTCACCACGTGCCCCAAATCATGGGGCCAAGTGACCATGGACTTAAGCATCTGAAACCATGAGCCAAAAGAAATCCTTCCTCCTTTAAATTGTTTATCTCAGGTATTTTGTCATAGCAATGGAAAGCTGACTAACACATAGCCACATTACTGTTATCACGTCTTACGAATTTAACATTTCTGCAGTAATATAGTTCATATTCAAAATTTTCTTAACAATATCCTTCATTACTGTGTTTTCCCAATCCACGTTTCACTCGGGAATCATATAACCAATTGTGCGTCTCATAAGTCTCTCTCTCTCTCTCTTTTTTTTTTGGTGATGGTGCCACATTGAGGTTGTCCTGGGGCTTCACACTTGCGAGGTGGGCACTCTGCCATTTGAGCCATAATTTCAGCCCTTTTTGCTCTGGTTGTTTTCGAGATAGGGTCTCGCTTTTTGCCCAGGCCAGCCTGGACCTCTATTCTCTATTTTATGTTTTCTACTGTCACTTGGTTGACAGGTGCAAACCTGTATACCCAGCTTTTTTCTGTTGAAGTGAGGTCTTGCAGCTTTTTTGCCTAGACTGGACTAGAACTGTGATCCTCCCGATCTCAGCCTCCCATGTGGGATGACAGGTGCACACCATCATGCCCAGCCTTTGTGTGAGATAGAGGTCTCACAACACCTCCCTGCCCTCCCCCCACCAGCCTTGAACTGCAGTCCTCCACATCTCAGCCTCACAAGTAACTAGGATTACAGGCATGAGCCACCAGCATCTGGCTCTTAAGTTTCATTTTTGTCCCCCCCCAATTTTGTTTTTGAGGGTATAGGGGTTTGAACTCAGCAGTTCATGCTCACTAGGCCGGCACTCTACCCCTTGAGCCACTCCAGCAGCCCCACTACTACTTTTTTTTTTTTCTTTAATTTTTGACTCTCATGATATTGACATCTTTGGGAGTACAGCCAGTTATTTCACAGAATGTTCCACGACCTGGATTTGTCTGTTTTCTTATTAATTTCAGCATAAACATTTTGGCAAGAATAAATATTATCAAGATTCAGTTTATCCTATAATGTTACCATACCTAATAATATTAACTACAATCTCTTACTCCAGTACATGGTCTATATCTAGATTTTCTTTTTCTTTTTCTGTTTTAGTTTGTGTGTTTTGTTTTATTTTATGTGTGTGATAGTGGGGCTTGAACTCAGGGCCTCATGCTTGCTAGGCAAGGGCTGGCTGCCCCACTTGAGCCACTCTGCCAGCCCCAGATTTTCTTGATTGCTATGATGGTGACTTTTAAAATAGATGATCTGTTCAAATCAGGATCCTAGTGTATGGTCCATATATTGTATTTGTTATATTTCTTCAGACTTACTTGTTCATTTATAACACACACACACACACACACACACACACACACACACAAAACCCCCTTTTTTTCCCCCCAAGCTATTGATTTGATAGAAAAAGACGCCATTTATCACATAGTATGTTCCACATTCTGGATTGGTCTGTCACATTATTCTAATTTTTTAGAAAATGTTCAGTTCAGCTTCACTGTCTTGGGAAGTCGGGTACTAATTTATGCTTCTATTATGTGAAGCATAATGGAATCCAGGATTGTGTGTGAAGCTTGTTGTTTTGTTAATGAAGAAAAACTGTGTTTAAAGTGTGGACTGACCTCAGGGCGCTATCTCAGAGTGAGGGACTGAAGTAAATCCTGATGTTGGCTCTTCCCCTTTTTTCTTTGTGAAACTTTGTGTTTTTCTTCTAAAAGATTTTTTAAAAATCAGAAAAGGTCTTGTTGGTTAGGATCTAAAATTTTTTATGTGAACTAGGGTTTGAACTCAGGACCTACACTTTGAGCCACTCCAGAGCCACTCCACCAGCCCCTTTGTGTGTGTGTGTGATGGGCTGTTTCCAGATAGGGTCTCCTGAACTATTATGTCTGCTGACTTCAAACCGCAGTCCTGAACTCTGCCTCCTGAGTAGCTAGGATTACGGGTGTGAGCCACCAGTGCCCGGCACTAGGATCTAATTTCATTTGATTCAGCTTTGTTTAGGTTTTAGGTTTCATGTCTCATGTAGTAGCTTGAAATTGAAGAGTGAATGAGTTCTAAAATGTTTTCATTAACATTTTTGATTAAATCACATTAAATGCTAACATGAAATTAAGAAACAAAAGTTTTCAATGGTTGTATCTTCTTGTTAAATGTTTAGATAATAATTTCACATTTTAAATGAAAATGATCATAAAAGGTTGTATTTTTGTTTGTCAATCAACAGACATCAAAATTCACAAGCTCTTCAGATATCCCAGTAGAATTTATAAAAAGGAATGTTAAACTCCGTGGACGTTTACACCGCATAACTGACAATGGTTTAGAAGTAGAACACATTCCTATTACTTTACCCATTATATCTTCGTGGAGAAGTAAGTAAGATGTAAGGATGGTAAGCTAAAAGTACTGTAGTTATTACTATTGTATTAAATACTGGATGTTATTTATAAAGTAGAAAAAATATTTTAGTTCCTGATTATTCTCCATTGTCTATAGAGAAAGTCTGAACCCTTGGCCTTGTATAGAAGGAACTAGTTTGGCTCCAAGTTTCCTTTCTTCTTTCTCTTTGTGTTTTCGTCAATTACTCGCTCTTTTATTCAGGCATTCAACTGTTCATTCCACAAATGTGGACCACCCGTTATGGTCGAGGAACCAACCATACAGTGCAGAGTGACACAAAGAAAGCCCTCTAACCCCTGGAGTTTACAGTCTTGGCAGAAGAAAGACAACAAATGAGAGAGATTGTCCTTAGATCTATGAAGAAAAGGAGCAGAGCCCTAGAATAGAGAATTACTGGAGTCCAGTGGAGAAAGGAACTTCTGCACATTTAGAGTGGTCAGAGAAGGCCTCATGGAGGAGTTGAACCAGAGACATGAAGATCTGGGGTGTTAGCTAGCAAGCACACAGATGGGAACGAGACTGCACAAGCTATCTAAAGGCTCCTGTGGCTGGGAGGCTCCAAAGGGGATTGGAGAGGGGGGCAGGAGCCACAGTTGTCACTTTACCCCTCCTCATCGAAGACCTCCGGCACACAGCCCTTCCATGACCCGGCATTGCTCACAGTCTTGGCCTCTGCCAAGCCGTAGTGATTCTCGAGGATCCCATGCAGCTCTTGCTCTTTTGTAAAGCTTCCTTACCTCCCGTGCAGAAGGAGCCTCTTTCTACTGTGCCTGACAGCAGTTCATACACACTGCAACTGTAGTACTCACTGCCATGCTCTTCTCCCTTTATTTTCATTTCCTGTAGTTATTTTAAGATTCATGTCCTCCATTGAACAATGACCAGGAACCTTTTCCTATTTGTCTTGATATTCACAGTCCCTGGAAAATACTTAATAGTCAATAGAAACTTGGTAAAATTTATCAAGTGAATTAATTTAGTTCCATTTTTTCGTTTGGGTTTTGCTTTTGAGACAGGGTCTCATTATGTAGCTCAGGCTAGCCTGGAATTTGCAATTCTCCTGCTTCAGCCTCCTGAGTGCTGGGATTATGGGTGTGTGCCACCATGTCCGACTCTACTTCTGTTGTTTTAAAACCGAATGTTTAATGCATTTGTAGGAATGGAAGGAATATAATCAGTATTAGAATTTTACATTAGCACCAGGTACAGTGGCTTATACCTCTAATTCCAGCTACTCAGGTGACAGAGAGCAGGAAGCTTGTAGTTTGAGGCTAGCCTGGGCAAAAAGTTAACAAACCAGGTGCAGTGGCATACCCTTGTAATTCCAACTACATGGGAGGTATATGTAGGAGGACTGTGGTATGAGGCCAGCCTGGGCAAAGATATGAAACCCTACTTGAAAAAACAACTATAGCAAAAAAGGGCTCATATGGTAGAACACCTGCATAGCAAACGTGAGGCTCTGTGTTCAAAACCCCGGTAACCACACACACACACACACACACACACACACACACACAGCTTCACATTTCACAGACATTTCCCTTCTTCTGCCTTTTTCATCTTCCTCAGAGCAATAAATAGCGGTGTCCTCTATGGATAAATTGCTTTGTTGTGTTCACAGTAATTATATCTTTATGATGTACTGTTTCACAGTAAATCTGCCTCACTCAGGTTAGACAAGCCCATGGAGTGAGAACAGACAGCAGTCAACTCATGTGAATAAATGCTAGAGGCTCAAGGATGTTTAGGAACCGAGTGTCCACTGACACAAACCTGTTTGTTGACATTATGTAAACACCAGTAATAGAAATGAAAACTGTGAAAAAGGAACTCAGGAATAAGTTCATTAAATATAACTAAGTATGTTTTAAATAAAAATACGATGAATTTCCTGATTAGTACCAGTAAATATCTAGATCATCAATCTAGAATTCTGGTCTCAGAGAAAGAAAGTCAGAGATAATTAGGTGTTTCATATTATCAAGTCCTTTCATTTATTCATTTTGGTGTACTGGGGCTTGACTCAGGGCCTTATGGTTGCTAGGCAGGCACTCTACCACTTGAGTCGCTCCACCAAGGTGTTGAGTAATTTTTCAGATAGGGTTTCATGAACTATTCACTGGGCTGACTTTGAACCATGATCCTCCTGATTTCTGCCTCCTGAGTAGCCGTGATTACAGGCATGAGCCACCAGTGCCAAACTATCAAGTCCATTTTAAAACAATCAGGATCCTTTGGGAAAATCACAGTAGCCTTTCTCTGGACCCGTGATTACTGTTGGTAATCCATTTGTGCCTGCACCCTTGCAGCCTCCTTTGCCTTGTCATTGGACTCTTGTACAGCTTTTCTCCTCCATGTATAACTAACAGAAGCAGACAACAGAGGGTATATGTCTAGATCCAAGAATTTGAAGATCCAGAGCAGAGCTGGAATGATGGTACCAGGAATGCATACCATCGTCCCACGCTTGAGCTCCTAGATGTGAGGTCCAGGCAGGTGTACTGAGAGTGCAGGCCTCTGCCAGGCACAGAACAGGACTGAAAGGAGCACTGTGCACCTGTTTAGGGCTCCATGAGCACCGCTGGTCTACAGCCTGCCGAGCCTCTGCCAGGCCCTTAGTTCTGTTGTCATTTCCTTGTTTGTTGTTGTTGAGACAGGTTTTCTCTATGTAACACAAGCTGGCTTCAGAACTCTCAACCTTCCTGCCTCAGCCTCAGTAGTGCTGGGATTACAGGTGTGTGCCACCCATGCCTGGGTTATTTTAATATTTTCTATAAAGATTTGTGTTAGTCAGCTGTCTGTCACTGACAAAATGCCAAAGATATACAAGTTAGAAAGAGGAAAGGTTTACTTTGGTCCTTGGTTTCAGTCTACTGTTGGTTGCCTCAATTCTTGGAGCATGCAGCAAAGGAAACTGCCTGCCTAATGATACCCCGTAGGCAAAGAATGGATTGGGGTGTCATTATCCCCATCAGGGGCACCCTCTTCTGGGGCTGGGGATGAAGCTCAATGCTGGAAGGTTTGCCTGTCATGCTTGAGGCCCTAACTTTGACCCCAGCACTGCAAAAGAAAAGGAAGGAAATTTTAAAAAAGCATGCTTCAAGTGACCTTCCTTCCTCCCACTAGGACTCACCTCTTCAAGTTTCCACTACTTCCAAGCAGCACCAGCCTGAGGACCAAGGCTTTAACCCAGGGGTGTTCAGGGGACATTCCAGATTCAAACTATAGCAAGATTTAATGCCATGCATCTAGCCATCTAGCTAATAATTGATGAAATTAAAGCTAGAAAATGGGTATTATTTTGAAACCAATATGTTAGAAAGATACATTTTCTACTACTCAATTCGTAACTCCATGTATAAACGTGTAAAACTGAGGGACAGATGATGTAATGTGATATCACTCAACAGACATTAACTACTACAAACATAGCTGTATGTCTTTGTGATTGACATAAACTATCCATATGAAAGACACCGTTTTTATATTTTCAAGAGTTAAGCCTATTTACTTAAAAAACGGTTTTGGAATTAGGAGTAGTTACCAAGCACCATTTGAATGATACAGTGAGATGCTAGAACATAATCTTCTTTAAAAATAGCTGAGCTAAAAGCTCCCAGGGCTGGAAGTGTAGCACGGTAGTAGAGTGCTTGCTTTGCATGCGTGAGAAAAGTAAAAATAACAAGGCTCCTTATGTTCCTTTTACTGTTTTTGCTGTCTGGCCTGTATGATAGAAGTGGACTTTTATCTTCGTTGTGAGGAGGACTTTGATTCAGGCCCTAAAAATTAAGTCCATTCTTACCAAAACCGTTAGGTTCAAATGACTCCATCATAGTAGAGGCTGCCTGGTGCAGTAGAACAGAAACTGGTGTAGAGAGCTGTTTTATATCTAGTTCTGGTCTGCGCTTCCCACCAATATCAAGAGAATTAAGATTTCCAAAACTTCTTCCTCAGGACTGTTCTGTGACACCCCTATCTTCCCTGATCTTTGTTGTGTATGAATGAGGAGGTACACACACATATGTGCACACACACTCATGCACAGCTTAAAATTTTTATGAAGTGAAACTTTAAAACACTTCATTTTTTCAGCAGATAATTAGTGAATGCCTTTTTTTTTTTGCTACAGTCTTATTATGTAGTCGTCAATAAAATGTTCTTGTACTTAGAATAGCCACAGAACCTGATGTAAGGAAGTCATTCAGACTCTCTCATCCCTGATAGTAAAAAGTAATATATTTATATAAGATGCCAGTGTGACTCCTGTCCTGTGAAGTCTTGTCATGAGTCCATGTATACTATAATAACTCTGCTATTTTAACTGTTATAGCAATTAAGATTGTTTATAACAAACCACTTTATGTTGTATACTGTCTTTCTAAAAACTTTTAAAATATTTACTCACAAACTTTCCTACCCATCTTATGAAGCAGAACTACAACACACTCATTAGGGATGTTTTTTTCAGGATTCATCTTGTACAATGTTAGCAGTTATCTGTGATCTTCCTTCATTTGATGTGCTTTCTGTTCTTTCTTCTGCTTCTCTATTTCTAAAACCCAAGTCCTACCTTTTTGATAGAGTTGGCTTGTCTGTTGGAACCCACATTGCTCTCCCCTCCTAACCTTCCAGTATCCCATGCAGTATGAATTGGACTTACTTAATGTTTACATAAAAGATTTATTGAAGGACTGGGAAGATAGAAGGGTTTGTATCACAGAATCACAAAACTTTTTTTTTTCCTATATATGTGTATAGGAATATATTTGTATATATTCTTATAGATATACATACATAGGAATATATATAGGTACTGAGGTTTTGAACTCAGGGCTTCACACTGGCTATGCAGGCATTCTATCACTTGAGCCACTCTACCAGCTCTGTCTTGTGTTGGGTATTTTTGAGCTAGGGTCTCACAAACTATTGGCCTGGCTGGCTTCCAGATGTGATCATCCTGATTTCTGCCTCCCAAGTAACCAGGATTACAAGTATGAGCCACCAACATCCAGCATCTTTCTTTCTAATTTGCTGCAGTACTGGGGGTTGAACTCAGGGCCTTGTGCTTACAAGGCAAGTACCCTACCACTTAAGCCATATCTCCAGCCATTTTCTTTTTTATTTATATAGACAGAGTCTCATTATATAGCCCAGGGTGGCCTTGAACTTGTGGTCCTCCTTCCTAAGTCTCCTGATGACAGGCATGCACCACCAGATCCAGCAGAAATCGTAGACCTTAAGAGTAATATTTGCTTTCCAGAACAGCTCTAATGTTTTGGTGAAAAAACGTTATGGGTATATCTTGCTTGTCAGTAGATTTGTTTTTGGAAGATTTATTAAATCTTACTGAATTTATTAAATTCTCACTGAGCATGTCATATTTCAGATGCTCCATAGGGAATCTCTATTTTAAAGGAATCCTAAAACCTTTGGAGGAGAAGAATTAGAACATTAATACTTAAGGTTGATAGTGTTGTTAGAGTCAGACCATCCGCTTCAGGTTTTTGGTCCCAAACTCTTTGGCCTGTGGGATCTTTTATTAGAGATGGCGGGTGGTGTTGGCAACATTAACCGATTGAATATCTGTATATATGTATACATAGTGATAATATTGTTCACTGCAGTAGTTTTGTTGCAACAAAAAATGTCCAACAGAAAGATATTATTTAATTAGATATAATTTATATTTACAATGGGATATCATGGAGCTATCAACCAGAAAAAGGTATGTTAGTGTGTATGCTATTCTTACACGGTATTATTTGTAAACATGCTTAAGATATGTTAAATAAAAAACAATGTGGCATAAAAAAAACATTAACCGATTGAAGGCGACTTCAGGATTCATTGGTACTCATTATGTACCCATGATTTGAAATCACATAATCCTTATTATATATTCTGCTTTGATCTGATTCGTATACTTACTGTATCACAAAGTTTTTGCTAGGCGTACAATCCTCCTACTTAAACCTTTTGATGCTTCTGTAACTGAAGCCCAAGGACAGGTTTTAAGAAGCCAACCTTAGAAGGAAAGTAATTTTCTCTTATCACTGTAACAGAGTTCTAGAATATCTACTTGAATTCAAGTGGTTTTTCGTAGAGATTAGATGAACTTAACTTTATATTTCAACCACTTTAACAGCTGTAGATATATTAAATATATAACTTGGTTTTTTCCTTAAAAAGTCCCTTTTTTCTTTTATGAAAAGTCAAAAGCTTTTTTCTGAAGTGAAGTCCTGAGCTGGGTGGGGTGGTGTGTGCCTGTTCCAGCACCTGAGAGGCTGAGACACAGGGTCACTGGCTGAGCCCAGGACTTTGAGGTCAGCCTGGGCAACAAAGCAAGACCTGTGTCCTAAAAATAAACAAACAAGCAGATAAGCAAATGCATAAATAAAATCCTGTTAGTAAGAATAAATTGATTTAAGTTTTATTAAGAGTTTGGGTAAATAATCTTCATACTGTATTACTTTGAATATAAATTGATAAAATCCTGTCTAGAAGTCAGTTCTGCAAAATGTACTTAAAAAGTAATAAAAAGCAGTCAGGATACTGAGGCAGGAAGATTGTGAGTTCAAGGCCAGCCTGGGTTACACAGAGTTCCAGACTGCACAGGGAGGCCTGTCTCCAAAACAAACAGGGGTGGCAGAGTGGCTCAAGTGGTAGGACACCTGCCTAGCAAGCATGACGCCCTGAGTTCAAACCCCAGTACAGACCAAAAAAAAAAAAATATATATATATATATATAAAATATATATGAAATATATATAATATATATAAAATATATATATGTGAAATATATATATTATATATATATTTGATATATATATATATCTCAAAGCCAAACAAACAAAAACCAAAAGTAATAACAATGTAGATGAAGATCAGGTTTTGTATAGGTAGGAAGATAACCTCAATAAGTTGTTACAACTTCATTTAAATGTAAAAGCAATTTCTGCAGTACTATTAGTAGTAACTAGTCACTACTAAACTACTTGTCTATAGCTTCATGTGTATGTATGTAGTAACAAGTCTAGAAGATTAACTTGATGAAATCTCTTCTGTTACTAAAATGAGTTTTTTTAAATTACTCTGTTACATATTTGTAGTTTAAAAGAAAATATGAGCCAGATGCCAGGAGCTCAAGCCTGTAATCCTAGGTACTTAGGAGGCAGAAATCAGGAGGATCATAGTTTGAAGTCAGCCTGGGCAAATAGGTCAAGAGACCCCATCTCAAAAACAACCAACACAAAAACAGGACTGGTGGAGTGGCTCAAATGGCGAAGTACTTGCCTGACAAGTGTGAGGCCCTGTGTTCAAACCCCAGTATGCTTCCCCCCAAAAAGAGAAGAAAGTATGAGTATAGAATAAATGGACCAATGTATTTATAAATAAGTTTTATATATTATTGGTATTGGATGGAGGAGGGGGGCAAATGGCTTTGGGGTTTGCTTTTGTGGCCTGCTCTTAAAGCTGAACTTTTTTTTTCTACCTAACCTTTTTAGAAGAGCCATGTGGTGTTTTGCTGGTTAAACTGGCTGGAGTAGAGCTCACTGAAACAGGGAAGGTCTGGTTACAAAAAGAGCTGAGACCTTCCCAACATTTGTGGTTCCAGCTTCTTGGGAAAGAGAATTCAGCCCTCTTTTGCTACCTTTTAGTGAACAGGGTAAGTAGTGTGAAGAAATAACTAACAGTCTTTTATTCTTATTATTTATATGTAAAGACTTATTCAATTAGCACTTTGAATATATAATGGGACTGAATTTTTTCATCTCTTAAAACTGCTAGTAATGGTGATCTAGGTGTAGAGAACCAGGTGTTTCATATATAAATTTTGTTATAAAATTTATGTATATATCTAATATATGCTTATCATAGAAAAATTAGAAATTCATAAAGAAAGGAAATATGGGTTTATATTATATCATGCTTGTTATTAGAAACCACTTGTTGAGTAAAGATGGCCAACTGGAAATTACAAATAGCAAGGGTGTTTTCTGAAGGGGTAAATATTGCTCGTTCTTGTCCAATAACCCTGTTGTTTTGGCTACTCTAAACTCAGATGCTGCAAAAGTAAAAAGTATTTTATTTTGAGTCTTTGGAATTGCAGTATGGGAAATATAGATTCATGTAGCTTTAAAGCAGTGTTCTGAAGAAGGTACAGAAAGCATGAAGTTATACAAAGCAAACGGTGTTGATTTATTGCAAGACAATGAAATTCTGTTGTGGGAAGCTCCTATTGGAGTTGAGAACAGGGCTATTTGAGCACTAGAAGATAATGAAAAGAAATGTAATACTCAGCAAAAATGTCCATAAAACAAGAGCCCAGTAACCTCTTGATGCATTGCTGGGGTCTCTGGGCACAATTTAATTATCTGTCCTTGCTGCCTGCAGTCGGGAGGTCCCCAGGGTTCACATTCCTAGGCAGCCTTTGCAGTCCTGTGCCAGTCCTTCTCCCCTGAATGGCCTCCAAACTCATTTTGCAAGGCTCTTAAGTCTGAAGTTGAGCGTTTTAAGTAATGTTTGTGATCAGCAGTCATCTGAAGATGTCTCCTCAGAGTTTTCTTACCTTTAGAGTTGCTCATAGCTTTTGTATGTAGGAATTGCAGTTTCCTCATTGTTACTTACATTCCTGTCCTGAGTCTTGACAGTTTTGGCCAAAAATAGGGAGAGGAAAATTCAGTTTGTCTCCCCCTTATCCATAGCAGTGTTATAATTAATTTATAGAAAAGATGAACCAAAACCCAGGAAAAGTGCACCTGTAGATTTAGCTGTGGGCCCCAGCTGCAGAAGCTGGGAGATAGTTTTTTTTTTCCTGATACAAGGGCTCTCTGAGCAGCAGCCTTTTTCACTCCCAGCATGGTATTTCCTGCAGGGATCCTAATTCCTAGTGGCCTCATTGCATTATAACAGGTGGGTGTGGTGTACACACCTGTGATCCCAGAACTCGAGAGGCTGAGGCAGGAGGATCTCTTAAGTGTGAAACCGGGGTGGGCTACATAGTGAAAACCTGTCTCATAAGCGAAAAATAAAGAAACAAAAGTTACGACAGAATCACGAGCAATTTTTCTTCTAAAGTTCCTTGGGCTGGAGGTGTAGCTCAAGTGATAGAGCACCTACCCAACAAGGGAGAGGCCCTAAGTTCAAACCTTACTATCACCAGAACCACCAAAAAAGAACCCATAGAGACAAATAAAAAGAGCATTGATGTTAAAATGTAATGTAACTGAAAGTAAACACTCAAAAACACATTTAAAAAAATTAAAAAGTTCCTTATGTAATAAACAAAAATAATCTGAGGGAAAAAGCACATTGGTTATTAGGATTTTAACTGTTTTAATTCTTTAAAACTCTTTGAATTAATAGAAAACCTAATGAAATTATTTTTTGTATGACCAGATCATATACAATTCTTTCAAAATAAGAAATACCCAAAAGTAATTTGTTGAAGTATGTTGCATTTAAAAGTGAGTTAATAATATCAAACATCCCAAGCCCTTATAAAAATATTAGCTTCTTTTAAACTGAAGAGTATAATTATGAAGAAAAGGATGATGTGATGATGAAGATAGTAATAGCACTATATTCTGAATGCTGTGTTTATTTTACTTCATTTGTCCTCAAAGCTGCCCTGTGGCAGTTGATGCCAGTCTGAATTGCACATGGGACTCTTAGAGAATGGAATTGTCCTGGCACAGTAACCGGTGAGGAGCCACACTCATGCTAACCTTTATCTTCTGTGCCTGCCGTACCTTGCTTCCAGGGCTGGCAAACTATGCTTATGCATATTGTGATAAAATTTTTGACAGCACCAGTGCAGTCTGTGATCAGAAGACTTCCAAATTCTTTGTGTCCCACATAGAAGAATCCATAGCAGGACATGTGGGTGTAAGTGGAGTTTATTAAAAGTTAGGGGAGGAAAATACAAAGGGAGCATGGTGGGGCCCAGGTGGACTCTGAAGACTGAGAGAATGTGCTTCTCTTCTCCAGGTGCTTTTTAAACCTATATAACCTATGGGAAGGGAAGAACCAGGTGGTTTGCATCCAGTAATCAATGAGTGAGGAGGGGCATAGATGGTTCCAGGCCAGGTGAGGGAGGTCCCTGAGCCAGAGCGTGGTCAATCTGAAATGTAATATTAAGTTTTTGTAAGTCTCAAACTTTCCCTAATTTTAATCTGCTTCTGTCCCTTTACATGTTCTTAGAAAATGTTTCTTAGTTTAAACCTGGAGCTTTCACATTTTTAGAATTTTTTTATTTTTTTGGTAGCACTGGGATTTGAACTCAGGGCCTCGCACTTGCTAGGCAGGTGCTGTACCACTTGAGCCGCTCCACCAGCCCACATTTTTAGAATTTAAGTGTGAATTACTTGTCTAGTGAAACTATTAATATTTTATTAAAATTAATTTTCTTACATTAAAATTCCAAAAGGACCATAGAAATAGCTAAACAGGATCTCCTTTATACAGTGACTCAGTGGGGGAAAAGTTCCATTTATCCAGTTCATTAGGTAGTGAGGTATTCCAGGTTTGAAATTTCCTGAAGGATGAAGATTCAAGGCCTATTTTTATGTTAATTATTTTGAGGGAGGTCATTTAAAAATGTATTTGCATGCCAGTGCCCTTCTAATTGTGAAGGAATTGTGAACCTAATTTAGCAGTTTAATGGTGACTCAGTTCGTTATGGACTGACTTAATTTTTAGTTTCTTCAGCTTTCTTTAGTTTGCTTTGCTGTGTGTTCCTGTCCTGGTGCCTCTGTGTGCCTCACTTTCCCTCCAGACAACTAACATACCAAACCAAGAAAGTGCTTTTTATGTCTTACTGCTTCCTAGAGACCAGTGAGTCTGTAGAGAATTCTGTTATCAAAGAGACGATTGACTTTGGACAAAGGTCTCTTCTAATAGTTGTTTGAAGCTCTTTTTAAATTAGCATATATTGTTATACAAACAGTTTTCATCGTGATACTTTCTGTTTTAAACTCTTGAGGACCCTCTGTTATAATTTTTTTGTTTTTCTTTGAAGGACTAAAATTGCTGAATGACTGCTTTTGAGGTAAGTAAGATGTTATTGGCATATCAATATTCTTACATAATTGGTTCCTGTTATATATATTCTTTTTCTCAAGGGTGGATATTTTAGTGTGAATCTGAATGAAGAAATTTTGAGAAGAGGCCTGGGCAAAACTGTTCTTGTTAAAGGTCTAAATCATGATTTTAAAACCCATTGGAAAATTCACAGAAACTTACTTAAAGCTGAGTTAACAGCCGTTAAAAAAGGAGAAGGAATATGGAAGGAAGAATCTGCAAGAGAAATTTATTTAGAAAAATTCAAACACTCCTGGAGAGAAATATGGAAAAAAGACAGTTATTTAAAAACAAGTGCGTTAGACTTCAGCATGAAAACAGAAAGTTATTATGAGAAATTCAGAAGGACTTATGAAACATGGAAAGACAACGTGAGTAACCACTCCTTAATACTGAAATTCAGAGAATTTATGAGTCGCTTACACTTTCGTAGAAAAGAATGAAATACCCAAAAGTTCTAGAGGTGACCTACTCTGAAGAATAAAATATGTAAATATATGTGAGACAAAAGAAAGGCCTTTGGAAACTTCCATTGTGACCTCCTTTGTGACCTTAAAGAGTGGAAAGAAGGACCAATGGTGTGAGAATCAGGAGCAACCAATCAGAACATTGCAGGCACAGACAACCAAAATGCTGCTTTCTGCACGCCTAATTAGCATAGCGATTGAGCAACACTTTGGAGAAAACAGAAAAAACCTGAGACTGTTATTTCTCTGGCACTCTCCCTTGGAAACACTGCCCACAGGCACCTCTGGGGGCTCTGCTCTCCCACTTTACACTTTTCTACCTCAATAAACTTCTTTATTCACCACTGTTTTCTGTGAAGCTCATTCTTCTGCCTTGTGAGGCAAGAAGTGGGAACTCCCATTTCATACGGACATTTTTCGCTGATTTGAATTGGAAAGTTCCTCACATGGTCAAAGTTGTAGTTCAAAGTATAACATCTGAATTAATTTAAGTAAATTGTGATTAATATAATATGCTTCTAGGAAAACATGAACACAATAAAAGGTTACCAAGTTGAAGAGTGTGTGTATATAATGCTAATGTTTTACTTTTTGTTTCCATCTAAATCCAGGGCCTCACGAATTCTAAGTAAGGGCTCTTCTGTATAGCTGCATCCTCAGCCCTGTAAGTGCTAAGGAGAAAGTTTAAGTATTGGCAGTTGTGCTATGTTAGTTATTTTGGGCAGCCACATTTAATTTTTGCTTGGAGAAAATATTTGCTTACTTTTCCAGTTTGATTAACTTTCATTATTTATAATAAAGGAAATTCTTCATACTTTATACCTGAGGCCTTTTTTTCTCCCAGCTGTTTTGTAACTGGTAGAATTTTGAGCAGTATAGTAAGACCTCACTCAGACAGGCCCTGCAATGGAAGGGCTAATGTCTCCCTGTCTTTAGGTCAGGGGATCATCTGAAAATAAGAAACAGTGTGCTGAGGAGAGAATGGGACGCCTAGGACATCGCAGAGCCTTTGCAGTACTCAGTGCTTGAATTGCCCCCAATTTTTGGTTGTGTGAGATAGTAAACTGATACATTCTTAAAGCCAACTTGGCCCCTACATTTGATATGCACACAATCTTGCTGTTAAAATGATTCTGACAGTATAAACTTCTTTCACAATAATCCACTAATGTCCACAAAGTCCACAGAAACTTTTTTTAAAAAATGTCAGACCTATCAATGTCCAGACTCTTGTGAGAATCTATACTATAGGATGAGAAGTTTACTGTGCTGCCTGACTCCTTGTTAAACCAAAAGAATTTTGCAGCCTTTATAAATTAAACAATGTTAATTTTCAGTAAGGTCTCAAATATTCCCAAAATTTTGTGTGTGGGTGTGGTTTTATATTTTCACCTTTCTTAGTGATAGGAAATGACATTGTAGTTTTTATTTCCTGGTTCTATTGCCTCAATAACTTTTTGTTTTAAGGCATTGTCATCTATTTTCATTTGCAGAGAAGTTAACAGCATGGCAAGCTCTTGCGTATTATTCTTTCCCAGTTTGGCATTGTGAATCCGAATCTGGATCTTGCCTCCCAGGATGTCAGATGTCATCCTGAATTAGTTCAGGAAGCTTCTGCCGGTATAACCAGAGCACTGTTAATTCTCTTAAAGGTTATGCCATGTGAAGATGAGGCTGATGCAGGTGTACCTGGGACCTGATCTAATTTCCTTTAATAAAGTAGGGAACCTCTATTTTATTGCTGTAGTGAGCAGGAGGAAACATAGGTCAAGAAGTCTCCTGTTGTGTGCAGAGACCATTGCTCACTGAGCATGTGTGACTGACCATGCTGACCATTTTTCTACTGAGGCAGCAGCAGTTTTAGCACCTCTTATGGTTGCTTAGTGGAGAAGTCCGTTGGCTGGCATCTTCTGGGCCCACATCTGCTCTTTTGGCTTTATCAGCATCTTTGGTGGTACAAGGGCAAGGTGAACTGGGATCTTTGTCTCTGGAGCTGGGTATAAAAGGACAATTTGAAAAAGTTATTTTGAGGCAAGATTTCTGACCAAAGCTCAGGTTCCTTTTCACAGAGAGGATTTACTACTTCTTGATCCTGCTAGGACTCAGAAATATGGCACCCAAAATATGGTGACTTCCCATACTGAGCATTTTAAGGTGAAGGAAATTGAAAAAACCGCAGAAGCAGGAAAGTCAGTCTGACTTTCTCCCACCTCCTCCCCTGAAGCAGGCCATGAAAGAATTCTCTGACCTACCTTCTCTGAAAGTAGGTCAGAAGAACCTTGTTCCAGAAAGATCTTACCCTGTGCCCAGAGGTCAAGAAGAATCTGAACAAGCAGGTATTGATAATTCCCTGCCCCCCCCACACACACTTTCCTAACCATCAGGTCATACCCTGTTGTACTCTAATCCTACTTCTGCATGACTATCCATAAAAATACAATCTTCCTGAGGTTTTTGGATTCCTATTTCTGAAGGCTCCCATGTCATGTAAAACATTAAATAAATTGTCATGCTTTTTCTCTTATTACTCTGTCTTCTTATAACAGATGTCACCCACAAACCTTGCAAGGGGTGAAGAAAATAATCTTTTTACAGGTGTCCAGTCTCTAGATCCCTTTCCTTTTTGGGAGAGGACAGTACTGGGGTTTGAACTCAAGACCTTGCACTTGATAGGCAGGAACTCCACAACACCCCCAGACCCTTTGCTTTGGCTATTTTTGAGATAGGGACTTGCATTTACACCTGAGCTTCCTGGACCATGATCTTCCTGTTTACTGTTACCAGGTATCGGGGATGACAGGCATGCATCACCATACCCAACTTTTCATCGGTTGAGATGGAGTCCCTCAGACTTGTTGCCCCACCGACCTTGAATGTCAATGCTCCCATCTAGGATTACATCTTTTTTTCTGTTTTGAGCTAGGGTCTCAAAGACTGGCCTTGAACTCCTGGATGCAAGCCATCCTCCTGCCTCAGCCTCCCAAGTAGCTGGGACTATAGTCACTTGTCATTGCATCTGGTTGACTCAATTACTTTTAAAATACTTCAAATGAGTTTAGTGCCTTATTTGTAAAGGGTTGAAATTTTTGGTCCTTAATGATCTATTTTCTTTTTGATTCAAATTTTCCCTTGGTTAAGTTAATTTTCATTTCCCAGTAAGCCTTCTTATGAGTAAAGTGTTGAAAGCAACACCAGCTTTATCATAATTAATGGTGAGCAAAACTTGGGAGGAGGGAAAACTGTCCATGCATGTGATCCAGCACTATCATATGCCAAGAGCATATTCCAGCAACAATCAGAAACGGAGAACCGACAACCAGGGTCTCTGTGCTCTGCCTTCTTTGCCTTGATGTTTCTGTGGTTCCTTCCATGAGGCAGGTGCCCACATACTGGCTCTTCTTCAGCACATTCAGCTATAGCTCCCTCAGGGCTCATAGTTCCCTCATCAAGGAGGGTCTTACTGTTGTAGGATGGCTCAGACAGAGACTGGGCACCAAAACTTTCCGGAAGCAAGTTTATTAAGCAGGCCGGCAGCAACTCAGCAGATTCACATCCAAAGGCTGAGCCCCAAGAACAAAGGGGGGTTTCCTTATACACCATTTAGAGCAGGTTACAGAAGTCAGGGGGTGGGGGAGGGTTATGGCTTGTCACATACATGGTCACATGCTATTTTATTGGCCATTTTAGCCTCTGGGGCAAGGTAACCCTTCTCTGTTCCTATCCCAGGTGCTAGGTGACATTCCTCAAATCTGTTTTTTTCTGATTTGCTGTTGCACTCATTATCTCTCACTGTCTCCCTTGCCCCTCCCTGCCTTCCTGCCACATTCCCCCTTTGATGCTTGGACCCATTTCAGGGTCAAAGAGCATCAGCTTGATCTAGGGGTTTATGTTTTTACAGTGTCATTACATGGCCAAGAGCTGTCTTCTCAGCACATATACTTATCATTTGGCATACAAGTTTTCTCCCAGGCCAGGCCTCCACAGGTGTTTCCAATACCCTGAGGTTGATGGATAGAGTTTTTAGCTATTACAGCACACACATCAAAGTATATAGATACTGGCCTTTTGGGGTTGTAACCCTGTGTCCAGCTAATAAGCTCCCCAGTGTTGGTGAAACTTTCTACCTCTAGCCATTGATCCCAAGGGTGATAGATGGGGTTAAAACAGATGCACTGACCATCAGGAGAGCACACTGAGTAGGTGGTATGGTTGTGGGTGCATGACCCAACAACTGTACCCACACAAGAATAATAAGTATGGAAAACTAGAGTTTTGGTAACAACACTTCCCACTTGGGCAGTGCACATACATGAGTTACAATCCAAAGCCTCCAGGTCTCCAGGTAGAGAGCTGACCAAGATTAGCAAGAAGAAAACATGGAAGGGACTCATCCTCAAAGTTGAGATAGGCAACTCCTCAAGCTTCCACCATGTGTAGACTAGTCAGCTTCTGGAGTGACAAGAGCAGGGCTGACATCTTGTCTCCTTGTCCTTGGTCTCCTTTATCTCCTGGGAAGCAGGGTCCTGCTGGGGAAAGGCATGGATATTCCAGAGGGTGATCTTGCATGGTGAGGCTGGGTCAGGGATACACTCCCACTAGAGGGAAGCCAGCTTCATTCAGCTGTGGTGGATCCAGGGAACAATCTCTGCTACCTTAACTGTGGTGGGGGTGAACAAAACAACAACAAAGGGCCCCTCCCGTGGGGCTTTACCGGTTAAACATTCCATTCCTTAACCCAAACAGCATCCCCTGGTTTATAAAGGTATGTGGGAGTTGTCAGGCTAATGGGAGGGGTCTCTCTCTTACCCAATCATTGATTTTTGAGAGAATCAACCGAGGGCCTGCATCTGCTGTCTCAGGGTGAAGTCACTTATTTCCTTAAGGTCCCCTTATTTTCTTAAGGACCTTGACTAAAGGGGGTGGCACCCAAAAAAAGAATTTGAAAAGGAGATAGACCCATCCACTTGGTGGGCCTAGACCTAATTCTGAGCAAGGCTATGGGCAATAAATGATCCCACTGTAAATGGGTCTCCTGGCATAGTTTTCCCAATTGCAAGTTTAGAGTCTTGTTTATATGTTCTCCTTTACCTGAACTCTTGGGGCAGTAGGCCGTTTGCAGCTTCCAAGTTATTTCTATGCCCTTAGCCACCAACTCTTCTACCTCAACCACGAAGGCCAGCCCATTGTCCAATCCAATAGATCGGACCAAGGGTTGATTTCCTTTAACAGTCACCTGGCCACTTCCTGGACTTTCTCAGTCCAAGTAGAGAAGGCTTCCACCCATCCTGAGAAGGTACAAACACCAGCAAATATCTACATCCTCTGGTCCATGGCATCTCAATAAAATCCACGGTGGACAGTTTGGGATATAAAAATGATGGGCCAAGGTGGTCTCAAGAA